TGTACTTTCTTGGGGCCATGAAAAATGAAAATTATGAGTTCGACTGAAACTGGATTTTGTATCACCTGCAGTACAAATAGATAATTATCTCTTCCATATCAATAAATTAGAATCTTTCTGTATAATGCTCTTGTCCTATACTTATTAGCACCATTATACTATTCACAACTAGTAATAGGATGACAGACTGAACAGGGAAGTACCACATTCACACCACATAATATATGTCAATCCCACATAGCACGCCACATTAATACAGTTTAACACGACACTGTCATATCACATAAAACTCTGCATAAACACAATACCCACTTCATTCCTCTAAGCAAGCAACCTCCCCACAGATTCAACAGGATCATGACCGTTTCAAGAACATCAAGCTGAAGGTACTGAAGGCAGCCCCTGGGAACGTCTACGAGGAACACAAGCGATTCATCTTAGCGTTCCAACCAGAGTGGAGGCAAGACCACAACATCATCTTCCTCTTGTCAGCAATAACACTCTTCACACCTGAGAGGCCGAACATCATCCATGGTGATGCTATTAAACATGAACGGGTGGGTTATTTGGCAATTGAGTTCATTTGAGTTTTGCAGAGCTTAGAGGTCATGTCAATCATCATATGATTATTAATGATTGTTCACTGGTTGTTTCATTAAGTTAGAAAGGTGGTCAAGGGAAATAAGTAAACAAAGTAGATACCCCAGGAATTCTATCTTTGTCTATTAAGTTGAACTGAAATTAGCCAGACTAAAAAGATCTAAAGCCAAAGTTATCAGTGTCATATTGGTAGCAGGGAGTAATTAATGAATGAAAATGAAAAATTCCTTTGTACAGACAAATTTCGAATTACTGTTACTCTGGTATTTAATACTTTCCGTATTTTTCATTATTTGCTGCATGTTAGAAGAAAACATGCCAGATTGAAAGACCTCAAATAGCTATTGATCTGAGGGACATCAATGAGGCAGCAACAGATACGATTAGCTCTTTCTCTTTCCTTTTCAGTGCTCATACTTGTACCTCCTGAAGCGCTACCTGGAATGCAAGTACGGAGGCTGTGAGGGAAGGACGGTTTACCTGCGGTTGCTAGAGAGGATTAAGCACCTCAACATTCTCAATGAGAACCACATTCGTGTCTTTCTAGAAGTCAATCCACAAGAAGTCGAACCACTCCTCATAGAAATCTTCGACCTCAAGCATAGGTGACAGTTGTGATTGTCGTACCAGATGCAAAGTGTCAAAAAAGTCATATGTGATACACATGTTAAGAAAATTATAGATACCTTTCCCTTGTGTTTTAATAACACTTCATTTACTTTCGAAAGAAAAAGGAGAAAATGAAAAAAAGAGAAGGTGAAGACACTAGATATTAATGATCTCTATGCTGTGAAGCCAAGGACAGCAACATAAAAACAGTATTTAAGTTGCACGTTATTTTCCAGAAATGGCTGGAATTTGCAATTGTGAATATGCAGACTTTGTTGTTATGTTTTATGTATGTGTTTGAACCAACATTCTGAAATTATTTAAGGTCTTTCCCTATCAAGATCATATATGCTCAAAAGAAGCCATGATTCTTAATTAAGGTATTTGAAAGAATGTATAATGCTATCTATCACAGAGCTTCATCTTAGATTCATGAAACCCATTGTATGCAGACTAGATTTTTTTTTTTTTTTTTTTACATTTCTGTTGAGCTTGCAAAGTGTAATCTTGTATTTGAATAGAAGACAATTTTCAAGAAGTCCTCTGAATACAAGCAAGACAGTAGAAGTGCTGTTGGACTCAGGATTAGGATGTAAAGACAACACAAGCACTTTTTATTCCTCGACGAAAGATATATATACAGATAACAGATTTGTAGTTTTCTCTCTGCAGTATCTTCTTCGGAGAGACATATTAACAGAGTATTTTATAACAAAAGTAGTTGTATATAAGAGTCACATTTGACAAACATTTTGAAAGTATCTAAGGACTGAAAGATGAAGATGCCTTCCTTTCGAAGCATTTATTATTATAGTGTTTATCTTCATTATAATTACCTTTCTAAGTCATGTCTATAGTATCAGATTGATAACTATTTATGAAAGAACTGAAAATATATTGTATGATGTTAATTATCTTTATAACCCCTTTCATTATAATTAAACCATAAGTGATATTGTGATATGAAATAATGTTCTTACGTCTTTCTTTAATGTTTTTTTCTTAGCCCCAAATTAATTTTTCTCTCTTTTCTTTCTACTGTAGTGTGTTACAGTAACAAATGTAATTATTTGTTATGTTCTTTTATCAAAGAAAAATCATATAGATTGAGACATATTTGAGAATAGGGTATTCCCATGCATGAAATGACTTACAATCTACATTGTTAGTGACCAAACCCTCTTTGAAGTGTTTGAAAATCACTATCTTGAAGTACAAAGCTCTGACAAATTTCTCTTAATTCTTCTTCCTAGTTCCTGTAACAGATGTGTGTTGTGTGTCTGTCCATCAATTTTCTCCATTTAAAAAAGGTGAAAAGATTTTTTTTCTTTTTTTCCTATGTGAGACTAATGGTGCCTCTGTGAACTCTTTTATGAAGGTATATGAATGAAATTGGATGTGACCATCTACTTCTTTTGCATTTTATCTACTGGATCCTTACATATGCTGTAACTGTTTCACTTTTCATATATGCAAGATATGATGATGTTATATGAATACAAACTCTTTATTTTCCACATATTGATGAGAATTCTGATTCACAAAGCTAAATACTGGTTAAAATACACAGTGTGTGAGCAAATGAACACCATCCTGTACTGATGCATATAATTTAAAGGTTGTTCACACAAAATCTCTCAGAAAGTAACCACAGTATATGAACTAACCATATAAGAAGCCCAGTGTGATTTGTTCATGGCTTTTATTAATTTAAAATTGTTAATAGGATACATTTCTCCACTGGAAATTTTATTGGGGGGATGTAATGTTGGGTGGCAAATGGGTCATTAATCCATATTTTTTCTAATAATATTGTTTATGGATGTCTCATGGACATTAATTCTTGAAATACTGTTAATTCTTAACCCACGCTCGCCGGAGCACACCCGCACCGGCACCGCGCGTTAGGCCTAGGCTGATATGCCCAGTCAGGCCGGTCCCGCGGTAGATGGTAGATGCGGGACCAAGCGCATTTGGGTTAATGAGATATGAGATAAAAAGTACATACTATCAAAGACTGTAAGATATAAGTAGAAATAAACAGTTACAATATATTGTCTGTGGATGAAAAAATTCTTACCAGAGATACTAGCAGAGATAAAACATAGGCAGTTGCATTGATGAAGTTTTGTTAAAACACATGTAAGTATGGAAGCTAGTAACGTATCGGCAAAAGGACAAAACAGAAGGAAAAATATATATGCTCTAAATAAATGGCAAAGTGGGAATACTTTTATAATGATAATAGAAAGGAGAAAAAGGACAACAAACACGTAAAAATTAAGTTGATAAAACTTCAGATGCATTGATTAAAAAATACACTGGCTGTGAGAATGGACAGATGTGTTGGTAGTAAGATAAAAACAAATACTGTGGTGGAATATTTAAAGATCATACCTGTGGAGACAAGCACTTCTACTTAGAGGGTAACAGGGAAACAACAATTCATACATTGATGAAATATAGTTTTATATATAATTAACTATGCTGGTCTTGATGTAAATAAATCTACAGATGAAAACAGAAACGGCTGTATGTCACTTGGGTACCTGTGAGGTAGAAAAGTGACATATACCACTGGATCTAGACTATACACACACAATTATCTGTCGAGTGTCTCACCTGTCTCCTTTTGTTATGTGTGAATATGGCATACTGGTACATGCACGCAAACAAACACAGGCACACATACACATACACATGCACGCACACGCACGCACGCACACGCACGCACGCGCACACACAACACACACACACAAAAAAAAAAAAGGATAAAAAAAAATGTAAATGTATATCCATACATCCCAATTCCCCTGGCTTTTTTTTTTTTTTTTTTGCAAATAAAGGTCAGTACAAAATGTCAAAAAAAAAACAAAATTATATTTGAAATTATCATTATCACCTCTCTGTTACTCATCACCAATCATCATCATCAACCTGTCATGTGCCTATTTACCTTAATAGAAGGTAAAACATTATAATTATCGGTATTGTCAACACATTTTGACAGAAAAAGAATCTTACTCAAACATATTTATTTCTCCAATACATGTTCATGAGTCTTGTCTGGCTGTGGGATAAATAACTTGTTTCATGGAGTTTTGTTTTTATAGATATTGTATGTGAATTCATTTTGAGAAAAAAAGGTATAACAATATAAATTTTTTATATTTAATGACAAAAATGGAATTATGAAAGATTTCAAATTTATCTTTTCATAGACTGTTATAGCACATTGTAAAGACCTTAAATCGGGAAATTTTGCCACAGACGAACTCTTGAAATTTCTTTCCTTTTTCCTTTTAATTCTTTGAGATGATTGAGGCTATTCACAACCCATTTAGAACTTTAGTCCCAGACACTCACCACGAAAACTAGCTCAAACTACTTGATCTACATTAGCCCATGAAATCTTTATTACAAATGGCCAATTAGTTGTGTAGAATGTTCCCTTTTTTTGCTGTAGAACTGTTTTCCCAACTTTACATTTCTCAATAGTTTTGAGGATAAAATGTGTAGTGTTAGAAAAGAATGGAGATATTCTTTATTCAATCACTTTATAACTTTATAACTTTCTTATGTATGACACTATATATGAATTCTGACTTATCATTCTCCATCTGTGTCTGTGTCTGCCTGTCCGTCTTTCAGCATACCTGTCAGTCAGGATCTCCCTCCTTCCCTCCTTCCCTCCCTCCCTCTCCCTCTCTCTCATATTACACATTCAATATGCATGACTGCATTCTTGATCAAATTAATTTGGCATGCAAGAAGGGGTAAAGGAAACAAAC